ATGGACAAAGAATGGTTTAAAGCATATAACTGGATTTCCCAGCTACAGTTAAATAGCCGTGTGTATGCAGGGCTGGTTGAAGAGCATAGAGAAAGAGAGAGAAGGCAGGGCAAGATGAGGCACAATTGGAAATAGAATGAACAGGCAGAAGGGATAAGAAGCTTTTTTCAAAGAGCTAAAGGATAGAATATGGTTGGATAGGTGAGAGAAGGATGCTGAAATTATCCAGAGAAACTATATAGTCTAATTACTCCTGAGAGAAAGAGATGAAAATGTCGGGAGTTGTAGAATTTACATCTACAGAATGGACTCGTTGTGATTGTTTAAGCAAGCCAGTTACCAGAGTTAATCAGGTCAGTTCTGGGGAAAAGAGAGAGAAAAGAGAAAGAAGAAGGAAAAAAAAAAATGGAGGAGGGCAGCTCTCAAGCAGGGATGGGCGGGGTGTGATCCAATGCCTCAGGCGGGAGTTCTGCCTTGGCGATTGTGGGGAGGAGAGTGATGGTGCTCCAGTCCCTTCTTGAACCAAGCGCTGCACCTCGCTTTTTTGGGTGTGTAAATTCCCGTACCGGGGGCGCAGCCAAATTTTGTTGTGCTCTTCAACCCAGGCTAGTCCCAATCTCCAAATCCCAGTCTACGCGCCCCGCTAAAATTTCCTTAGACACAACTTCCCAGGCAACCCCCTCGGGGCAATTCCAGGCCTCCTGCAGAGCTCTGGGGGTGGAGTCAGAATCGCTGCTTCCTTCTCTGGGTCGGGCTGGTGCGAACGGGCGGGGGCTTGCCTGCCAGGTGCGCGGAGCCCACTGGAGTGAGGAAAACCAGGTCCCTCTATGGCTCGTCACCCGAAACATGAACTCACAGGCAAATTTCCCAGTTTTTAGCTCTTTGCCTTCCCTCTAGAGTTCCAGCCAGCCAGGAGTGCGGACGCACGGTGTCTGCGCATGGCTCTTCCAGGGGCCCAAGCCTCCCGGGAGGACAATGGCAGCAGGCGCGCCGCTACACTAGAAGTCCAGCCAGCCAGGAGGCAGCACAAAGAAGCAGTCTGTGCGTTCAGCCCCTCCAGGACCAGTTGGCGCGAGGGGACCTGGCGTGCAGGTATTTGGCTCACAGGGTGTTTCTATGCCCTGAGCGGAGGTTTTTCCCCGAATGGAGGTTTTTCTGTTTTGGACTGTCTCTTTTTCCCCTCTCACTCCCTGCAGAGGGGGATCGCCTCTGACCCTGGAGTCTCCGATCCCAGCCTGATTTTCTCTTCCCCAGTTCGCACTCACTTTAGAAGGCTTTCTCAGTGGCCTCTGCGTCTTTTTTCTCCCAATCTCTCAGGTTTTGTAAGGTTTCCAATGGCTTCAGATCTTTCCGTGTAAGGTATGGGTGCGAGTGCTAGTACGGAGCTCCTTACTTCTCCGCCATCTTGCCCCTGAACCTGGAAGTGGACTTCTTAAAGCGTACAAGGCTTCCCAAAATATGAGTAGAAGGTTCAGATGCTGAATGACTAAAACAGAATGACAAATTCCCATTATGACCTACCACTCTTGCTGCCCACTGTCAACATACACCAGTATTCCCACACTTACACATATTTTAAAAAGAAAAGTTACTACCTTCTGTAATACAGTTCTCCTTTACACAACCAAAGTAATGGTCATTCTATACCAGAAAGGAGTCAACCAAAAATATTGCCTGTTACAGATCCAAGTCCAAGATTATTCAATAATATCCATCATGCTCAAGATCTGATATAATTTCATCTCAATATTTTGAGTTAGATTAGAGTTTGTTTATTTCTACAACTTGTCATATATGACTATACAAAAGGATGTATCATTTTCCTCTCCACTGTACATTTTCTTTTTTTTTTATCTTTATTGTTTGTATTTAGTTAATCAGTTTATGTCATGGAATAACCTGCAAATGCATTCCAATTGGATGTAAGTCCTTGGTATTTCCAAAGATTTGAGATTGTTGGGGTCTCCTAATAACTTTAACTATTAGACACAGAGGTTGTGGACAGGACTCCCCTTGGTTTCGTCCATATTTCTCCTTTTTTCTTAGTAGTCAAGATCAACCATCTAATCAGTATTAAACCATTATGAACAAACCAAAATACCAGATAGCAGTCTTAGCTACTCTAACTCAATGGAAACAAAATGTGTCCCTTGGTAGAATCATTTCTCCATTTGGTACTAAGAACTATAACTCAGGATGTCCTAGAGTTGTGTTTCTGAGAAGAATTTTTTTTTTGCAAATGGGATATTAGATATATCAAGCAGTACCATCCCTATTCTCTCTGTTCTTGATTCTTGGTTCAGAGTACATACTGTATCCTGTAGCACCACATCCCAAACTTAGAAAGTACTGTGTGTCAGCTGGAGCTCTAAGTCTTCATTTGTTTCTTATTATAAGGTCAGGATCTTATGGATAATAGATTATGTGTAAAAGCAGTTAAACCATGGGTATCAATAAACTTCCTTACTTCATCCCCTAGAAGCCATTTGCTTTGTAGCCACAAATAAGGCATTTATGAGTGCATAGGTGATGCTGCTGTCAGAAGCATAGCCAATAGGGAAGGTAAATATATATACAAAATACATGTCTGTTCTAGTTAGGACAAAACACTGCCTCCTCTGTGATGGAGAGTATATAATATAACCAACATGCTATTAGCTAGTAGGTTGGTTCTTCCAAAATATATTATCCTGTCAGAGACCGGCTCCGGCCGGGTCCAGGGGTCTCTGAAGGATGGACAGTGCCAGCGAGGGAGGGGTGAGAGAGCCATAAGATTCTTTCTCATCACTAGGCAGGCATCTCCACTCTGACTGGGGCTCAACTTTATTTTATAATTAAGTGTTTGGGGGACGGCACAGAAGTGGCATTTGCCCTAGACAATGGTTTCTGATAACAAACTTCTTTGATATATAAGAATTTCCCAGAAGATAGATTTGTAGAAGACTCCTGCATAACCTTTATCAATAGTGACTGAGGTAGGTGATTTAGATGCTTATCGTATGGGGAAGGAAGGTATCTTTAGCATACAAGACAAAATTTTTAGCATAAAAAGAGTGAAGTTACTTCTTTGTGAGCAGGGGTCAAACAGGTCTTTCAGGAAACCCCTCAGCTCCCATAATCACAAAAGAAGAAGTTCCTTAATAGGTTCCTTCACAGGGAGCAATCAGCATACTCAAGGCCAGAATAAGTCACTCCAAATACTGATAACAAATGCCTTGGGGTGGGGGGGGGCAGTGCTCCAAGCAGAAACAATTGGGTGGGGGTGGATATCTGTCCTTAACTCTAAATTAGGCTCTTTGTCTCAGGGCCAGACTCCATTGTAACTCATGTTCATAGGTTCTTAGCCCCCTTTATTATGTAAGTCTTGGATCTGCAAGGCCCATGGGAAGAGCCTTTTAACAATCATCCAGAGTGCTTTCATCTGGAGTCTCTTTTGAAGAGGCAGGAATATGCTTTTCTTTATGAGCAATCTGTGTGGGGAATATTGGTCTGATCTGGAATATTGTGAGGCCTGGTCAATATCAGCAGGCTCATTTCCAGCATAAGCCAGTAGTAGCAGAAGGAGATACCAGTTTTAATTTCTCATGGCAGGAGCTGTGCAAACACTGCCATTTCCTCACTGTGACTCATCCAGCGAGGCCAGTGTGGCTCCCAGCAGTATCCAATCAGGAACATGGGGTTGTTTATTGCTGTTTGCAAAAATGAGCTCTCTGGGGCACCTGGATGGCTCAGTCAGTTAAGCATCCTACTTCAGCTCAGGTCATGGTCTCGCGGTTCATGGGTTCGAGCCCCATATCAGTCTCTGTGCTGACAGCTCAGAGCCAGGAGCCTGCTTCGGATTCTGTGTCTCCCTCTCTCTCTCTCTCTGCCCCTCTCCATCTCAGGCTCTGTCTCTCAAAAAATAAATAAACATTAAAAAAATAAAATGGGCTCTCAGCAGTAGCAAAAACTAGGTCATCCTTGGGGTGGGAAAATGCTTGCTATTGTGCCTATCCATTTGTTCCTTCCATTCCTACCAATATGATCATGTTGTTCATAAATCATTGAGTATGCACTAAAATAAATTTACCTAAACTGAACAGGAAAGTTTGTCTACCTATTAAGAGACTCTTTTATTCACTCTGGGTCTATTCTAAGTAGTATTCAGACTCTTTTTTTTTTTTTTTTTTAAGTGTTTGTTTATTTTTTGAGAGACAGGAGTGAGTGAGCAGGGGTGGGGGGCACAGAGAAAGGGAGAGAAAGAGAATCCCAAGCAGGCTCTGTACTGTCAGCATGGAACCCGTCACAGGGCTTGAATCTGCAAACTGTGAGATCATGACTTGAACTGAAACCAAAAGTCACTTAACCGACTGAGACACTCAGGTGCCCCTATCTATATAACTCTTACCCAAACTTCCATGTCAGAAATCTTGCTTCTTCCATGTCTGATCATTCAGGAAAACTATTAGATAATACCCATATATCAGCCTGGACTCCTTCCTCAAACACCTCCTCTATCCAGGTAAAGTGGACAAGAGGATATTCCATTCAATATTCTTCCCACTGGGAAGGTTAGCCCAGTTGGAATTCTTACCTTTTGTACTATGACATAATATGTTGAAGAGAACTTAGCAAAATTTTTAGAAGTGTTGTTCAGGGTCCTTCAAGAGCTGATGCAAAGATGAGATAGGTAATATGAAGGATTTTATTTGAAGAAATGAGAGAGAGAAAATAGAGAGGAAACTGGAGAAAGCTAACAGAGCCATCAGATTCTGATGTATTTCTGATCCCCAATAAAGGAGAGAGAGAGAGAGGTTTTGTCGAAGTACCCTATCCTGATAGAAAGTTTTGGAAAACCATAGTGAATCCTTAAGTCAAAGTTGGTCTTCAGAGAAGTCAAATGTCTCTCAGGAATGGGTTTGCTTTAGTACCTCGTCTGCACACAGTCATTGGCTGGTATTGACTCATGGGAGGTGTGGTACCACAAATTTCAAAACACAGTAGCTGTGACCCTTGGGTAATTAGACACCGTGTAGCCAGTGGATTGTGAGGTGCATTTTTATGGCCACTCTGATGGGTAAGATATTATCAGCTATCTGATTATCCTAGGAAAACTATGAAGGTGTTCCTGTTAAAATTGTTCATGGAACCACTGAAATTATTACTTTTAAAACTTTGCTTTATAATATTCAAAATTCTTCCTTCCTGGGTATGTTTTTGGTTCACTGACTTTCTGTTTTCCCTTGTGGTCTCTTATGTTACTTAAAAGATTTTTTTTTTAATGTTTATTTATCTTGAGAAAGAAAGAAAGAAAGCATGAGCAGGGGATGGGCAGAGAGAAGGGGAGAGAGAGAATCATAAGTAGTATCTGTACTGGGGCTTGAATTCATGAACCATGAGATCATGACTTGAGCCAAAATCAAGAGTCAAACACTCAACCGACTGAGCCACCCAGGTGACCCTACTTAAAAAGATCATGAGATCACATGATCTCATCTATATAAAATATATATCCTATAGAATATGTATATTCTCTGTATATAATATATAATATGCTTATATATAAGATATGCTTACATATTCAATATACATAGAATTTATATTTTGTTCATGAATTTAGAATTCCCCTCATGTATACAGTTAGATCTTTGTCCTTGGAAAATGGGAAATTTCACTTATGAATTACATTGGAAAAATACTGATATGCCTCTTAATATCTTAGAATGGTATTTGTATACATAGAAGCAGATATGTATATACACATATATCTTTATTATGATGTGCACACATAATTAAGCTTCCAAAAGATGTTACAACTATCAAAGCATATTATTTTATTGAATTTGTCTACACATTGTAGACAACGTTGTCATTGTAGTTTTATCCAGTGTGTGGAGTAAAACTAGCAAAAACCATATAAAGTATGTTCAAATTCAAATAGTATTTTTTTAATCAGTAGATTTAGCCATCTGAGAAAATAGGATGCACCAAACAGAACCCAGGGCATAAAAATACTGAAAAAAATGGGGAAATAAGTTTTAATACCAACTAATATTTATAAGACATTATAAAGAAAGTTCTTTGTATACTTTGGTATTAAAAACAATGTGGTTTGCACATACTGAGTGAGAAATAAACAACTAAACCTAAATTTAAAACCAAGATAATACACGTTAGATGTCAAGAAAGGTAACAGACTTTCAAGCTAGGTCCTGAAGGCTTCCCAGGCCTCTTAGATGTTGATGGTTTTTAAGGTTATTATTTCTATACCCTCAACTTTGAAATGTACTTTCCTAACATTGGTATGACTCAGCTCCATGCCTTCAGCCTGTTGCTTCTCCTTTTCCAGCTCTCTTGCATTTTACAGATTCTTGCCAGACAATTTGAAATGTGTAGTTCAAAAACTATTTGCTGATTATATTTGATTGAATCTTCAAAGTTATTATTCTAGGTTCTTTTAACTGCAAAACACTTAGGACAATTATAAGCGTGTTATACATATTGGTACAATCTATAAAAATGCTTTGAACTTCAAATTCAGCGTAAAAATTATTACTTGCAAGCATCAATAAGCAAATGGCTTTTTGTTTTACCTTAGAATATTTAGTGCAGTGCACTGTTTATGTAAGATCAATAAATATTGACTAGATTTCTCCATCTAATTTATTTTTACAAATAAGAAATAGCTCAAAAATATTTTATATTTTCAACCAGGTAAAAAAATGCTCATCATCATTTGACTACACAAATAGAATATTTGAGGGGCACCTGAGTGGCACAGTCAGGTAAGCATCCAACCTCTGATCTGAGCTCAGGTCATGATCTCACAGTTCAGGAGACAGAGTCCGAGTCAGGCCCTGGGCTGATAGGGCAAAGCCTGCTTAGGATTCTCTCTCTTCCTCTCTCTCTTCACCTCCCCCACTTCCACACACACTTTTTCTCTCTCAGAATAAGTAAATAAACTTAAAAACAAAACAATAACAACAAAAAACCAAATAGAATATTTTGGCCTCTATTTTTTAAACTAATTTTATCAAATCTCAATGTAACAATAGAAAAATATATGTAATTCTGTATGATCTTTAATGCATTTTTTTAAATTTTTTAAACTTTATTTATTTTGAAAGAGACAGAGACACAATGAGCAGGGGGCAGAGAGAGAGGAAGAGAGACTCCCAAGCAGGCTCTGCACTGTCAGCACAGAGTCAATGTGGGGCTCAAACTCAAGAAATCATGAGATCATGACCTGAGCTGAAACCAGGAGTTGGACACTTAGCTGACTGAGTCACCCAGGCATCCACTCTTTAAATGTAATTTCTTAATAGAATCTTAGAGTTTTAACTGTTACTTTAGAAAATGTATAACGTTAACGGTGCCTGGTGGCTCAGTCAGTTAAGTATCTGACTTCAGCTCAGGTCATGATCTTGCGGTTCTTGGGTTCAAGCCCTGCATCAGGCTTTGAACTGACAGCACAGAGCCTGGACCCTGCTCCGGATTCTGTGTCTCCCTCTCTCTCTGCTCCTATCCCACTCACGCTCTGTCTCTCTCTGTCTCTCAAAAATGAATAAACATTGAAAAAAATTTTTTAAGAAAATGTAGGTTATAAAATGTTCAATGTAAATAATTGATATCTATAATTAACACCTACTAATAGTTTTATTTCATTTGTACTACATCCTTAATTATTGTATAAATTAACATTTTTAGTTGTAAGTAATAAAAGTCAATTCTGGCTAACTTCAGAAAAATTAATTTATTGGAATGGATTTCAGAGGTTCACAAAATCCTTGTGAAGCTGTGAACAGATCCTGGGCAGATATGAGGACAGATCCTGGGGCCAAAAAACAAGAACTAAGATTTATTACCTCAAGGCAGGCAGCGGCTACAGATGTGATGACAGGCCTGGATTCATATCAGCCCCTAAAATCCAAAGAAATGCACATAAGCAATTTGGTTGGGTATGCAAATTTCAGCAAAGTGTCCTTCACATTGGAGTGTTCATCCATCTAAACCCTCCAAAACCTCACTGATGTGAGAAAACTGTGTTTTCATAAGTTGTATATTGTCCCTTTTCCCACGCATTTATAGTACCAGGGTATAGAGAGTGCCTGCTCTATCTTGCTCTCCAGGTTCTGTTAAACAACCAATCAGTGTAGCAATCCAGCCTGATAGTCTACCAGAAGGTAAGATCATTAAAGTCCCTGTGAACTAAATTGCAGCAAAGAGCCAAAGTTGACAGATTACTGAGGTGGAAAATAAAAGTGCACTGCTGTTCCTGCTAAGTAAAAGCAAATTACTTCTGTTGGTTTTTTTTTTTTCCTGTTAATCAAAATATGGGAGTAGGGAGTATATGCTGCCTACCAGGTTGCTCCAGCAAGGAAGTTCTATCAGGAACAGAAGCACAAGGATTAGGCTTTCATTCTTCAAAACATACATCTACTTTGTTCAGCTAACCCAAGGAACTAAATAGGAATATGCAAAGAATTTTCGCTCTTACATTTTCCAAGTGTTAAATTCCCTTGCAGATGTAGTACTACTTTTCATTTATGATTTTGGCATGCGAGTGTACAGTTAGCTTATAGCTGATCCCAGGGATATCTAGAGCCATAGTATTCTCCCATGGCCAAGATATGAATGAAATATACTAGTTAGTGACCTTTATATGCTGTTTATAGTCTGAAATTCCACTGAATGCACTCTGGACTAGTCTGTCTACATCATTTATTAAAATATACAGATTGATAAACTGTACCTATTTTACAGCCTGATTTGGGTTATGTGAACAGTGGAGTATAAAGCCCCCTTGGTGAAAAAGGAATCCTGGTACCCGGTTGTGGGAATTTACATTCCCACAGCCAATATGGAAAATAACATGGAGGTTCCTCAGAAAACTAAAAATAGAGTTATTATATAATCCAGCAATCTCTTCCTGGGTTGGGAAGAAACAAAATCTTTATCTCAAAGAGATGCCTGCATTCCCATGCCCACTACAGCATTACTTATAATAGCCAAGACATGGAAACAATCTAATGCCCTTCAGTGGATGAATGAATAAAGAAAATGTGATCACACACACACACACACACACACACACACAGGAACATTATTTAGCCTTAAAAAAATAAAATTTTGCCATTTGCAACCATAAAGATGAATGTAGAGGGCATTAATCTAAGTGAAATAAGCCAGAGAAAGAAAAATCCTGAAAAAAAAAAAAAAAAAAAAAAAAAAAAAAAAAAAAAAAAAAAAAAAAAAAAGCCAATCTTATAGAAACAGAATAGAATGGTGGTTGCCAGGGGATGGGGATGGGTGGAGGAAGAAATGGAGGATGTAGGTCAAGGGTATGAACTTTCAGCAACAAGATGAATACGTTTTGAAGATCTAATATACAGCATGGTGACTTTAATTAATAACACAGTATTGTATACTTGAAAGATGCTGGGAATAATCTTAAGTGTTCTCAGCACACAGGTACCAGAAGAGTTAATTATAAGGTGGTAGACATGTTAATTACCTTGGTCTTGGTAATTATTTCACAATTTGTATATATATTAAATCATCATGTTGTACATTTTAATATGCCGTTATATTTTTCAATAATTTTTCAATTATTCCTTAACAAAGATGGAAAAAATAAAGTATATATTAAGACTGAAATCCAAAAATAAATAATCCCCAGGTAAACTTTTGTTCTAGAGATAAAGGTCATCATGTGCAAATGAGGGAGAAGCAAAGAAGTTGTATATTGGTGTCAGGATCAATCTGAAGATGCATTATGCTTTTCTTTTTTTAAGTTTATTTATTTATTTTGAGAGAGGCAGCACAACCTAGGGAGGAGCAGAGAGAGAGGGAGAATCCCAAGCAGGCTTTCCACTGTCAATGCAGAACCCAATGTGGGCTCAAACTCACAAAACTGTGAGATCATAACCTGAGCCAAAACCAAGAGTTGGACGCTTAACCGACTAAGCCACCCAGCACCCCACATTATGCTTTAGTGTATGATACCTAACAACCCAAAAGTTTTCAGTATACTCTTTTTTCCAGTATGTTTACTTGAGTGAATATATATAGTTACCGTTAGAGGAAAAAAAAAAAAAAAGGAGAAAGATTCAAGTGTACTTTGGGTGTTATGTCTGGACTCCAAAGTGCATAGCTTTCATTCAAGGGTCTGTGGTTCTCATCTTGGCATTTAATGAAAAACCTCTCTACTGTCTCTTATGGTAACTCAAGCCAGGCTTATGTTTATCAGGTCTAGGAGATCTTCTTTCTTCTTAATACAAATTAAGTTCTAAGTAGAAAGGTTACCCATTAGTTTGATTCCTAGCAATGTCATGACCAATTAATCACAGCCACAGATCTCTGTAGATCAGGCTATTCTAATGAATACAGTGGCATGGCTGAATATTACAGCAAATATACCTAATCTCCCACTGAGATTTAATAATCACACTGACCTCTTCTACCTTGGGAACAGTGCATCTCCATTAAAGTCATGGTGCTTTTTTCAATTATAACACTTCCCACCAGCACTCTTAACCTAGGGAAATAAGTTAGTAGAGAATCTACAGAGGTTTGGCATTTTCCTCTTTAGATCTCAAATTGTTGGTGAAGGGAAGTTTTTCAAAATGTTCTTAGGGAATATAGTTAGAAGGTGAGCCATATATGATATATGCACCCTAAGATTCCTGTATCTGAAAGACTTTAAAATTTCTGCCTGTAAGCCAAATATTTTACAATACAAATTACTATCCATTTGGTCAGATATTCATTAACTAAACCAGGAAACTATTAAATAAACTGTATCTAATCACTTAAAATAGCACATGAAATCTAAAGTCTTTAACAAAATATACCCATTGTGACAAATTTATGCTGATATTACATTACAAATTCTGGTATTACATTCCACACTTTTTGTTCAAGCACCCTAAAAATCCATTCTGGAGGGAAAACAATGTTTCTAGAATTTGGCTGACATAAACTAGCAAATTCCGTGCACGCGCACACGTGTGTCTGTGCTTGTGTGTGTATGTGTACATGTGAGCCATTTCAGAGTTTCATTTTTCCATTTTTGTCCTCCACGACCTGATGGAATTTACATCTAATTACAGATCTGGGTGTTAAGAGATGTTGAGTAAGAAAGAAAGTACTGTATTGTTTCTTCAAGGGAACAACCTCAGGCAAAGAATTAACAGTATCTTCAAGCAAGGGAAGAATAGCTGCATCGAAGGAGGAGATTATCTTTGCAAAGACTCTTCAGTGGAAGATATGTTTGGACTTCAGCTTACTCAGTGTCTTCTGAATATACCTAGATAACTCCACTTACACTGTTAAAGCAGCAGTCTTTTCTGATGAATGTCCTAACATTCACATGGCAGATATTCCTGGGGTATAGTATCAGCCCTTGTGATTAAGTCACTTGACTTTTTGTTCCAGGATGGTTATAGTAGGGGTTTTAACCCATGCTTTGAAAATAGAGACTTAGTATTTTGAGTTTGTCACTCTCTTCCTTATATTCTCCAGTGTCACCAAAAGCAAGTACTCAACCCCAAATACTTGAATTCCTCATTGTTTCATGATGATCTAGTGGTAGCTCTGTTAGACTTTTACTCTCCCCCAATGGAAACTTTTTTACAAGTAATCTCGGTTGATAATTTCTGTTTCATCACCATTATCATGGTTTGCTACCTTTCCTTGTAAGGACAAGAATTGGAGCTTCATTGCTTTTTACCTTGATGTAGATGGGTGGTCAGTCGTAAGAACCCTTCCCTGAAGTTCCTTTTCCCACAATCCAGTCTCTGGTGCCAACATTTATGTCAGTTAGGATTTAATCCCAAGCAACAGAATTTTTCTGTACTTCATTTAGGCAAAAGGAAATGGACAGAGATCTGAAAAGCTGGGCTTGGAAACTGTCAGGAGTCAATGCAGATACAGATTCTGAGACTAAGGAAGCAGAAACCACAACCATGATATCTTGGCAGGAATTATCTTGGCAGGAGGCCACTGCTGGTATGGAATAAACGCCAAGCATTTTCACGTTGTCTTGCTGCTCAAAATTCAAATTCCAAATGAGAAGCCTGAAATTGACTCCCTTAAGTCATATTCTTCTCTCCCAACTAGACAAGTATAAGGATACCTGATACTGTCCCACTGAACTGTGTCTAATGGAATTTGATATTTCCTCAAGATGTATTTTTAGGAAGAGGAAATGAATGTGTAACAGCCAACCCACATAAAAATACATTAATTTGATCCAAAATTTTATTTATATTTAAAAATTTTTTAAATGATTGTTTATCTTTGAAGGAGAGAGAGACAGAATGTGACAAGGGAGGGGCAGACAGGGGCAGACACAGAATCTGAAGCAGGCTCCAGGCTCTGAACTGTCAGCACAGAGCCTGACACGGGGCTCGAACTCACGAACTGTGAGATCATGATCTGAGCCCAAGTCTGAATCTTCACTGACTGAGCCAGCCAGGCGCCCCTATCCAAAATTTTAGATAATTATATCTGTTAATTTATCTATTACAAATTTAAGACAGGTAGTTTGTGACTTGACTCTTATGATTTAATCAATGCTTCCTTGTCACTTTTCATCACATGTTCTAGGTTTGTCCTATAATTTCTCTTCCTTTCTTTCCTGCCCCTTAAATTTTCCAGTGTCTTATTTTAGTATTTCATTCTTTAAAAAGGTTTGGATGCCAACAAACTAAGCACATATGTTTACCTCTCTTCCCTCCCAAGATCCCAGTGAAATAAAAATGTGTAAGTACCACAAAAAACATACTAATAAGAGTGATGAAAATAGATATTAGCTGTCAATGGATGAGAGATTTAAAACGCCATCTCAAGATACAAAGTGCAAGGGAGTGGAGTAAAGGATGAAAAAGGTGGAGAAAGCCACAACGCTGGAGCAGCTGAGGACAGTCTTCCAACATAAACCCCAGAGTCATTGGTCAGCATCTACGGGGGTAAAGAAGAGCAAGAAATGAGAAGGGAGGCTGAAAATAAGAGAAAAAATAAAGTCTGTACGTGATAAATTTAACCACTCAAACCCCTATTTAATGCCTTTGCTCTAAAACCTAAGAAGGAGCAAGAAGGAATACTTTAAACCGTAACTCTTTTATAAAGACTTTAAATGAACTTTCAGTTGAAAGTTTAGGCTCTAGGTGCACATGTTGGTACCTCAGGCCTGACTACTTCTTCTGGCATAGAGGGCATGGCCAGATAGCTTTCCCATGCTCTCCCTCGAAAAGAAACTCAAGAAGACAGGACTTGCTCACCTTATCCAGAGCTTTGAAAATTCTTACCCAAGGAGGAAACTGGGAGAATAGTCCCATTTAGACAAGAATAGAGAAAACTCACCCCAGAGATCCAGTCTGTCTTCCTTATATAAGAACTGATGTCTTCAGCATTGATGCTGATTGTCTCCATCATCTACCCTTTCTTACTTCCACAGTTACAGGATCTTGACTTTTAGCAAATCACATCGCTACTCAAAATAAAGATCATATTTTCAGCTGCCTTTGAAGCTAAGGATGACATTGTGATGAAGTCCTTGCCAGTGCTATGTAGCACAAAAGATGTGTTCATCTTTTGGGATGAGTATGCCATTATTCCCTTGTGCATCTTTCCTTCAGATAAAATACACATGTATGCTTGGAAAGCAGCCATTGTGGATGATGTGTGATTTTGGGAATGGTATCCATATACAGTGGAGTTATAAAGCAAAAGGAACTAGGAATCCTAGTTCCTGCAGAGTATCATTCCAATTCTAAATATTTTTTCCTGTTATTAGCAGCTAATTACCTAATGTTAATACAACAACAAAGAACGATAAATACATAAAAGAGATATATCAACATTAACAAAAAAAAGGAATTTTCTGGAGTAAAAAATAATTTAGAGAAAACTAATTAATATATTCAGAAATAATCGTACATCCATAAAAGTACATCTGTAAAAGAGTTTATACAAAAGAATAAATAAAAGATTAAGAGCTATCAAAGACTAAGAAATATGATTTCCCCCACTCACCAAAAAATCAAAATACTGAAAAATAATAATACTGTCCAAAATGTTCAAATTTTAGAACAAGAAGGCAAAGAGAATAAAAAATGAAAAAAAATGAGGGATAAAAAGGATAAATCTAGGTCTGTATTTAATAAGCAAGAGTCATAGAAAAAGAAAAAAATGAGAAAATGAAATAATTTTTTAAAAATAGAAGACAATTACCTAAATCTGAGGAAGAATGTGAGTACTCAGCTGACAAGTTCTACAAGAGCACTCTATGAAATGTCAGAACAGAAAGGATACAAAAATCCAAAAAAACGTCTTAGTTGAAGGAAAAAAACAGATGTGGGATATTCATCATGACCATTCGCAGACATCTGGTTCTTCTTTCAGACACATGGTAAGATCAAAGTTATCTCCTCCCTTAAAACTGAGCATCGCTATGTGTCTTCAAGTAGGAGAGGAAATGATGGACATAATTTCGGATGAAGGCTTTAAAAGCTAGTGTGCAGTTTACTCTCATCTTCTGTCTGCCACAAACCAGCAATGCTCCAGGGGGTAATAATCCTCTTAGCATGGTTATAGTGTTGAACATAGCATGGAGCAAAACCCAAGGCTGACCTGGGATAGTTACATATTGTAATCAGGAGATAAACTTCGCCATTTTAGGTCACTGAGATTTGGGGATGTCACTTCAGACACAGATCTTATCACAGAATCCCATCAAAGAATGAAAATTGGTGCTAGACTCATCATGAACACTGAATACTGGGGGGATGCGGAAATTAGTACTTTCTAAACTGAGAAAATTATTGTTAATCTAGAATGCCAAACCCTGCCAAATGACTATGGTTAAAATGAGCACATTTTCAGACATAAAAGAACTCAAAAGCTTACCTCATATATTCTTTCTTCAGATGTTCCTTGGGGATGTGCTCAGTAAAACAAGAATGAATCAGAGTAATTTTCATCCTGGAAGATTATGATAATGGAGATGACTGAAGTGATGACTGAGATATCAGAAACACTTTGAGAACAGTTGTGGGGAGTAGTTAAGATGTATTGACTTCCCCTAGAGGATTATCATTTGCTTCTTTGTGTGCTGAGACATTCTAAAAACCTTTTCTCCAAAGCAAAGATCAGAAGGGGGCACTCTAAAAAAATTTTTTTAACATTCATGTTTTGAGAGACAGAGACAGAGCATGAATGGGGGAAGGACAGAGAGAGAGGGAGACACAGAATCTGAAGCAGGCTGCAGGCTCCGAGCTCTGAGCTCTCAGCAGAGAGCCTGATGTGGGGCTCAAACTCAGGAGTTGTGAGATCACGTCCTGAGCCAAAGTCTGATGCTTAATGGCTTAACTGACTGAGCCACCCAGGTGCCCCCAGAAAGGGGGACTCTAGATCTAAAGTCAGTATTAGCATTCAAACTATAACTGTATCCCCTCCACCTCACCTAGTCTAGGTAGGGAAGAGAGAGGAAGCAATAAGAACAATTACTTATGGAAGAATCAGCTCCAGAAGCCTCTATCCATCCTGATTCATTCAATTAATTTAAAAAAAAAACATTTCTGAGCATCTGCTAAATATGAATCTCCATATACTATATACTAATTCCCCAGGGAATTCAGAGAAAAATAAAATGCTCTCTACTTTCAAAGAGCTCACAATATTTCAGGGGAGATTAACTCATATAAACCAAGATCCATGCAAAGTGATATATATATATCAGAATTGGTGGAAGAGGAAGAGGTAGAGAGAGGGAGAGATTCTGTATGGTGAAGGGGAGGGTGCTCTAGGGTCTTCAAAGTTTTCAGAAGGCCCTGATTCTATAGATAAAGTTGTACCTGGAGCTGGCATACTTTGGTTGTTTGAAATAATCAGGTTCGTTTTTTGCTCAACCCAATGTGAGTCAGGTTTTCTGTCCCTTACAAACAAAGCTCTCTAGCTGAATTCCTTCACTCTAAGAAATGTTATACACTAAGCAGAAGGAGAAAGAGAATTGGTCAAAGAACTGCCAGTGAAAAAGCAGCAAGCAGGAGAAATAAATCCAAAGAAGCAAGCAGCCACCTAGAAAGCCAAACTAGGAGAGCAAGCTCCATGTGAGAAAGCAGGTACATGGAATTCACAAACCTCTAAGCAGAAAACGCAATAAAAACTGGAACAGAATTCACACAGGTGACAGTGGAGCTGTGTTAAGGTGGTGTTGAAAACTGGGAAATTAATTCTTTAGAAGAGGACAGGTCTTACTGCTATGGGGGATCATGTGAAGCCCAGGTACGGGTAGGCAGAGTGATCAGTTGAAGGCATGATGTAAACTTACGTGATGGAAATAGTTTCATAGTTTGGTTAGCAAATTAGATGTTGGAATGAAATGCTTACTAATGGTTGTTATGTTTGTACTCCAAATACAATCAATTTATGGCTAACAGAATGACTTGTGTGAGCAATATTGCTGGCTCACTCTCCTACAGTGTGTGACAGTGGGCACTGAATAAGAACCTTACTTTCTAGTATTTTCTAGCACATCTATATTTGAGAAGTAATAAGCCATAGTCCTCACCCTTTTGCCCTCTATACATATGAGAAAATGGGCAAGAAAGCTCACTTTCTTGCACTTACACATGTGAGAGACGGGATAGAATGATGGGCTGAGATTAATAGGCTGACATTTAGTCAAAGGAAACATAAAATCCTGAGTTTCAGCTAAAAAATTAAAAAGTAATAACAAGACAGGATGCAGGAAGATTCTATGAAGGAGATCTTGAGTCTGTCGTTCACCACAACTCAAAATTGGATTATCTTGCTGGAGACAGGAGTGGAAAAGATATTTATGGAGGGCAGGGCAAAGATGGTTCTGACTACAACAAAGTCTGAGGAAGAAGGGAATGAATACTTTCCCTTACTTACAGTGGCATCAGGTCACGTGGGTCACGAATGCCCAGCTGAGTGCTTTCCCACTGATCAGGGAAATGTAGCAAAATATTAAGAATGAGATTCCATGAAGGAAATGACTACGGGCGGCGAATTGGAGACCCTTGGATAAGTTGAACTAGTTTCTGAAAGCAGCCTTTTGGAAAGCTGCCTTGTTTGAAAAGCCTGCTGGGTCAGGAGGCCCCGCTTAGCCTACCCCAGTAGGCTGTCCCCACCAGGCTCCGCCCCCGTGCCCGAGGAATCTGGAGCTGCCCCAATCCCGAGCCCCGGCTTAGCCTAACCCCGCCCCCACCAGCCCTGCTCCGCCCCCTCAGTATCCCGGGCGACGCTCCCGCGTCCCCTCTCTCCACGCAGGCTGTGCCAGGTCCCAGAACTACTGCTGCAAGAGGAGGCAGCACCGGCGGCCAGCTCCTGCCACCGGTGGGGGACACACTTCGGTGGAACGGAAAACCAGAGTGTCCCACGGGGCCAGCCCACCAAGGTTCGTGACGGCTGAGGCGAATCTCAGGGCAGGACTTTAACAGTTCCCAGGAGAGGCGGGGCCGGTCTTGCAGGCAGTCCAGTCCCTTAAGGGACCCCGACCGACCTTCCTCCGTCGGTCTGTAGACTCCGTCTCAAGCTTCCAGAGCTGAGGCCTTCGCCATTAACCTCAAGAAACGAATAGAACTAGGAGCCAGGAGAGGCGCTTTTGCTGCTTCCCAGTTCACCTGACCCTCTGAAGGCAGTGGGAAAATAAACCCGTGTAGGAATAAAGTTTCTGTCCTGTTTAGGATGAGGTAGGAACAGAAAGGGAACTGAGACGCCCCCGGTTTGAAGATAACTTCGTGTCTAATAAGAGGGATCAAATTGTTATCCGTAATATCACATTTGTATTGGAATATATTAATACACATACACAATTCACATGTACTGGCATTTCACTGAACTAGTGATTAATTTCTCCCCTTGGGACTACATTTGGTATGGAGAGAAAAAGTCCATTTAAACACACATAAGGTATTTAGTATTATTTGTATGAGCAACTCTTATTCCACTGATTTGGGACAGGAAGACGAGTTATCCTATTAACTAATTTGTAACTTTTTTCTTCTCTCCTTTGCTATTATGATTCCTAATTTTCAGGCTGAAGTTTGTAAGCCTTGGAGAGAACTTCAGCAGTGATCTCCAAATGTAAGTCAACTGAAACATGGCTTGCCTTCAACAGTTTTCCTGCTTTATATTTTGATTTCACCATCAAGAAATGTTAGTTGGTATCAAACGTATGATTTCTATTTATTTTACTTAACGACCTAATGCATTACCTACAACTGAGTGCTAGAAGTGTCTAAAAATTGTGATACAAGGGATAAACATTTAGCAGCTCTTTCAACTTCTTTATGGGACTTTCTTTTACCCTTTTCAGTACCATAATTATTGATACTACTTCTGTAGTTTTCGTTAAGCATTTATAGTAAAAAGAGCTTATGGTGATAACAGTTCTAATTATGATAAATGATTTTACTGGTAATAGTAAAATCATATTTATTTTGATCTCTCTTGATGACAAATAATAAATTTGTTTGCTGGGATCTATTGGCTTTCTCACATCCCAAAGTGATTGAATTCTAGAGATGGTAGTCAGCCTCGGACCTCATCACTCCCCAAGTAGCCTCTGTCTACACAGTGCTAGGCCTACCCTTTCCTTTGTGTTTCCTGATAAGAGCATCTCTGGGTAGGAGGAGGGTTACTCTTTGAAGAATTTTACTTGGGGGACAGAAATTTAAACCCTCACCATGGGACATATCAGCCTGACCCAGCGCTCTTAAACCTTTCATCCCTTTCTCCATTCTCATTTTGTCTTTGCATGTGGGGCCAAACCGTGATACAAGAACCAACCAGTAGATCAAAGAACCCACCAAATCTCTTCTGAATACCAACAGTGGAATGGCTTCAGGCAGCCTTTTGATCTTTGTCTCCTCAGTCTCCTGCCACATTCAGCCCCGCCCACTTGCTCGTGCTGGGAGAGCTGCCTCTGGGTCCTCCTCACACACTGCTTCACCGTCAGCATCTAGAGCTAAGCTGGTTTTGGTACCAGCCAGAGAGGTGCCTCGCATTCTCCGTCTCCATTGCCTGGATCTGAACCATTCCCCTCCTGCAGTCACACCCATCTTCTGTGATTTCCTCAGTGGTCTTGAACCAGGAAACCCTGATGCAGCGCCATTGTTCAGGATGTGTTCCGTTTCTGCTTGAGGCCTCGAATAGTCACTCCGAAGCATTAGTCCCATTTCACATGTTGGAGCTCACCTAGGAGCTGGGAACACTATCAGTCCAACACCAGGAAAGTGAAAAACTCATATTAACAAAGAGCAAGGGGCGTCCTTTACCCTACAGGTATAATTTCACACGAAAATGACAGATCCCTAAGTATGCTTGCATTTTTTTTCTTTTATTTTCCTCTTGGCTGCTTCTACATGCTAGAAAGTGCCAAGTTCCTATTTTAACAAAATTCAGCATAGATAAGACTGAACTTACAAAAGAGATGGTGATTATTTAGATAAAAAAAATAATTTGTTGTGGGAAACCTTTAAATATTTGATGCATATCAAATGTTATGTGCCATAAAATTCAGTCCACACTTTACCTATTGTGTAAAACAAAATACCTTTATGTAGTCATGAATCAATTGTGAAAAACAACACCCCTTTTCCCAGCAGGCATAAGCCAGGTAGGATGTGGGGTTGAAGGCAGGGAAGGAGTCTGCTCAACTTCAGCCCTAACTCTGAGCTTAAACTTTCCAACACAGTTTGGTTGGAGCCTATTTTTTCCAACATTCAGTTAACTTTTTTTCCACTTTATCATTCAGCTCTGACCACCCCCCATTCAGAGTCTGTGCCTTGAGGCTTGCCAGCAGGGCTTGCAATGCTAACATTAAACTAAATTTAAGAGTAAAGGTGCTCCTGCTGCTAATGTTCTCAGATCAGAGAAGAGCAAAATGAAGAAACTGGCAGCTGAAACATTAATGGTAGAAAACGACTCAGCTATCGGAAAAAAAAAATCACAGTTCATATGTGTGACAAAGAAGACATGTATCCTCTCCATGTGTAGCATTTGCATTTGCTTTCATTAGATGCTTCTATTTTCTAGCAACAATTGTCTAATCCAAATAAACATCAAAAAGGATACATTTTACATCACATACTGACAGCCCAACTTTGCAGGGGCGGCTTTTACACACCTTGTTGGCTGGATCAGGTTCTGGGGTTTGGTACCTCTTTCTGTCTACAAGCTGGATTTTTCTAGTACTTGGAGAATTACTAGTACTATTTCCTCATTTTGAAACTCCTTGATGAACCCTTCAAGGGCCTATGCAGTTATGTAGAAATCCCCCCTGCCCTAATGCCATTGGCAAGCAAAGTGGGGTTCTCAGAACTGTCTTAATTCATAGAGGATGAAATGCCCCAACTGAAATAAACACAGTCACTGTTTTCTTCTGTCCCTTTAGAAATCCATTAGGGATAGACAGAAGAGGATTGAGAACTGAGATGGCCCAGATTTGCTCTGTAACGTCAGAGGACTCTGGAACATAGACTCTTCATAGCTCCTCTGAAATAGGTTCATTGGAGGTGGACTTGGGGAAGCCTTTGGTATCCCTTCAAACCTGTCCATGAGATCTATTTTTATGTTGGCCTTAACCTCTTACCACATGTTCTACATAATGTTGTCATTTAATAAGTTCTGGTTATCCAAGTAATTCAACTAATTAATATATTATCTGATCAGAAAAATAGTTTTTTTAATTACAAAAGAAATTACTATATTATGAAGGTATGAAGTAGGAAAGGACTAACATTTGCTGATCAGACAGTGTGCTTTAAAGCTATGACTATATAAAAATAAGTGGACATTGTTTCATGGATCATACCATGCCCTGATAATCCGAGTAACACTAGGATTCTATCATATGTAAAACATGACACTGATCTGCATTAAATTTTCTCTTGGGGCACCTTGGTGGCTCAGTCAGTTAAGCGTCTGATTTTGGCTCAGGTCATGACCTCATGGTTCGTGGATTCGAGGCCTTTTGTCAGACTCTGTGCTGACAGCTCAGAGCCTGGAGCCTGCTTCAGATTCTGTGTCTCCCTCTCTCTCTGTCCCCCCCTTTTTCATGCTCTGCCTCCCTCTCTCTCAAAAGTAAACATTAAAAAAGTAACAAACAAGAATTTTCTCTTTAATTATGCAAAAAATTAATTTCATAATAATCTTTCATTTATTTCAAAAGACTTTCCCTCAAGTCCTATTATTTTTCCACTTCCCTCCCTCATGGTTTTGTAGCACTAGAGGAATATTGTGCCTTGGCTGTCCATAGCTGACTGTACCCCAGATCTGACCGCCTCTCTCCACTTCCACCCCTGCCCAGGCAATCATCATCTTTCCCCCATAACAACCTCCCAGCTGGCCTCTCTATTATCAGACTTCTTCCCCTGTAGTCTAACTTAAGATAAACAAAACTGATCCTTTCAAGGTGCAAGTCAGGTTATGTTACCCCAATGCTAAAAATCCTCCAATGGATTCTTAATGAGAGTAAAAGTCAGTTTTTACAGTAATCTTCACGACACTGCATCATCAGAGCACTACCAAATTTCTCTTTACTGTCTTTAACTTTATCTCATTCTGCTCTTATTTATGCCTTCGCTACTGGTGAGCATTTGGGTAATTTCTAGTTCCCTGCTTTATTTTTTTGCTGTAGATCATATCATCATCAGACATTGCATATATTTTGCATATTTGTGTATTATCTGTTTTTCCCCCACATCCACACCTATAATGTAAATTTTGTGAGATCAGAGATTTTCATCTTTTTCTTCACTGCTGTATCTTCAGCACCTAGAACAGTACTTGGCACCAGGTAGGTAGCTCAATAAGTATCTGTTAAATATATTCAAGACCCAGGTTGATAGTGCTTTACCCTGAGTCTCACAGGTAGTAAATGCTGGAAGTAAGTGACTTAAAACCTAAAATAAGACATTCAGTTGTTTGGTGAGGCTTAGGGTAGAGATCAAAACTGGTGGATATGGTGGTGGAATCAAGAGGCTGTGGCCTTTTGAATGCCTCTCTAACAGTAGAAATGTGTGTTGTTTTGCATCTGAAAGCCCTTGCAGCCTGTGACAGTTATTCCATTCTAAGCCCACAGACATTATGTGCACACTTCTTCCTATTTAGGGTAAATATTAGGTAACTTGATTTTATAGACCCACCTTCATCATTGCTCAGTTAGTTACCTTCCCACTGTGACACATTGCATTTCCTAAAGATGGCCGTAACAATATCTCCCTCCCATCCCACATTTTGTTCATACATTGTGATGGTGATGCTTTCCCATCAGTAGGTGAATCTATGTTCTTTAGCCTTGAACCTGAACAGGCCCTTTATCCCAGTAGAAGCAGTACTATGTGACTTCCAAGGCCAAGCTCTGAAAGTAGATATAGTTTCCATGGCTTTTCTTTAGCATACTTGCCTTTGGAGCACTGAGCTGCCGCAGAAGTATGAGGCTGCCAGGATGTGAAGATTCAAAGCCTGATGAGGTGGCCAAATGTAGTGTTCTTGGAAATAACCCTATTAAGGTCATAGCTAATAGTATTAATTACCAGATATATGGGATAAGATACTTAAAGATGATTTCTGACCAACCCCTGCCCCCCACCCCCACCATTGAGTTACCCCTAAGCTTCTGAGTCTTGTCAGAAGAGGCCCCGGTCATCATGGCATAGAAAAAAAGCCATCCCTTGTACCCTGTCCTAAATTCCTGACCCACAAAAAGTGTGAAAGCTAATAAAATGATTGTTGTTTTGAACAATCTTTTCTGGACCTCTGTATTTTGAAGTGATTTGTTACACTATGGTAGCTGTGTGCCTCTTGGGGAAGCTGTCTCTTTGTTGAGAATCAGTCTTAGCATCCATCACTTCTAAAGAAAAGCCTTTATTTGTGAGTGAGAAAGTTTTTAGAAAAAGGCAAAGTATGAACAATTTTCAATTATTGATTGTAACAGGAAAGCAAAGCAGGAGCATTTGAAATCTATAGCTGTCCTAAAAATCTTCACTCTTTAATTGGAACCATGTCCCTTAACAAAACTCATACCAAAGCTCCTGATTGTCTGAATCTTCAATTCATTTATCAGATTTTCTCCTTATCCACTTGGTGGTGGAGATGCAGACAAGTAATAAATTGGCCAAAAGGCAGATAGTAGAAGAAAATAATGAGAAGCAACCTGCAGAATCCACTTACTGAGTATCCTTCCTGAATAACAGAGCTATAGCTCTACAAATAGAGGCATTCTCAGCTAAGATGACAGACTGTGGATTTCTAATAATGTCTTAAAGAATTCTTTGAAAGAGTCATTCATTAAAACACTGTTTCTGGATTTTTTTTGTCTTCTGTAGTCTAAAATGACCACCCTGCCCCCACTGCCCATGACACGCCCAAAACTTACATCTTTAGCCAGACAGAAGCTGCCATGTTTCCCCAGCACTGTTCCAAGGTACGTGACCCTGGTTTTCATTTCTTTCCCTACAGAATGAATTTCTTGCAGTAAGAAATGTCAATAACACATCTCAGAAAACAAAATTGTTTAAAGACAAAAGTAGTTTGCTGTTTCAAAAGGGTCAATGAACTTCATCCAAATATTAAGAATTTATTTACTTAGCAAGCTAGTACTCATTTGATTGTTTTATTTCCTATTTTAATTATATCATGATCCTATAAAACGTTGGAGATATATTGGCTTTTTAAAATGTGGATGGAGAATTGAAAGTAGAGGCTTTAGGATGGAAAGGTAGATAGCTTCTAATCCACAAGGTCCTGAGTGCTGATTTCTGTTTTGGAGGGAAGAGAACACAGTCTTATTACTAGGGTAAGTAGGCAGGCAAGATTTAGGGAATGAAATGATCCTAGGGCCTGAAAATGCTGCAACACATGAACGGCTGTTGAGTTCCTGGAGCTACCGCCCAGAAACTTGAGGACAGAGAACAATGTATCCTGTCATAAGTATTAATGCGAATTTAGAAATTGTTAATTAGAAATTGTCATTTATGACTTTATAGAGGTATAGCGATGCAGCTATTATTTATCATATAAATAATTTGCATATGTAGTTTTGATTATCTACTTCATATGCCACCTTTTCACTTCCTGCAAGGCATAATGATCAAAGTATTATGAGACTACTTTCTTTTGAAAAGGGTCATACTTTAGTATTTCTGGGAAAGACCAAAGTCCCTGGACCAAAATAAATGCATACAGCTAAACTAACATAAAAGTTCCCTGATAATAGCAAATCAAATTTTCTGAAAAGAAAATGTTTTGATGCATGCATAATTCAGGATATACATCTATTCGTATTTTCAATTTTATTTGTGAATAATATGGATTATTTACAAAGTCTGACAAAGCTTGTTCTTCCTGTCTTTTATAATACTTGGGATTCCATTTCTATTTAACACCAGCCCAATCTCACATCCCTAAAATAAGTTTTTTAAAGAAAACTATTTCTTGTATTCATTTTATTGAAGAAAAACTATTTTTTCATAACCATTTAAGGCAAAGTTTTGTATCAACATTTTCCATCAGCTTCTGAATAAAACAGATACTTGTTTAGGCCTGTACTCCCACTGCTATGTTAATAGTGTGCTTGTTTTTAATGCTGAAGGGAGTGTGAAGAATAAATATACTACAACTATAATATATTTCTCAGTAAAATCTTAAAATCAGTTTTTTATAATAATTTGAATTTATGTGTGATTAGAAAAAAACCCCACTCAAGCAACATTTCAGAATAAAATTTGGTGATGTTTGGAACAAATTAATTTTATACATTTGTATCAAATAGGTGTTCTTAGTTCAAAATCCTGTGCGAGACAGAATATGACTTATGTGTTAGAAGGTTACAGTGTGAAGCAATGTGAATAAAATGGAAGAGCTTATAAGATTTGAGGAGAGAACTCCATTTATTTAAGAATGCTGATTCTTTTAATGTGTTAGTATTTTATTTGTTTGGACACTGAGTTTAATATTCTTCCCTATTTCCTTCCATTCAAGAAAGTGAAAATTTAGAAATTATTAATCAACAACCTAAGTCTATAGCTATTGTAGAACATTTATTATATATGGTATTAAACCTTAAGTATTTCTCTTCTCCCAGTGACATTTTATATGTTTGGGAGCTTTTCAACTTGATAAAGCAGGGCTTTATTATTTCTTTCCATTTCATTTAGATCCCAGTTGATCAAAGAAAAAGATAACATAGATCATTATCTGAAGGTGAATTTCAAAGGATTGTCAAAAGAGGAGGTTGCTGCGTAAGTATAACCTCTTAAAGATACTTTAATATAAAGTTTGTTTCTTTTGTCTTGATTCTTTATTGAAATTTCAATTTTCTTGTGCAGTACTTTTTCATTGAAACATGGCATTTAAAAATTAAAGCTCATATTAAATAGTGATAAGTCATGTCTATTGATCTTACACATATCAAAGTCTTTAATTTTATGGCTTTCAAAATTCTCATATTTACCAAGATATTATACTATCACATTTGCAATATTTTAGTTAAGTCTGTGCCATTAATTGCTTATTAACTTCCATTTTAATATGTATTGCCTCCATGGGGGGAAAAAGCTTTTAGAGAAAGATCATATCTTTTTTACCTAGCAATTTAAAACAAAATTCCTTGCCAATATATGTTTCTCCCCGCCACCAAAACTTACAAAAAGAATGAATGGATGGTAACTTATTGGCTACTTTTTAAATAAATCTAAATTGTCTAGATTTATTTTATCAATGAACAATATGAGCTTTGCCATTTTATCACTAGTTAGAAACTAATTTATGGTTTGAATAAAAATAGTATAAAAATCTGTGTCGGTTAGTGAGAAATGAATAAAAACTCATAATAATAGCTAAACAGGTTTAGTACTTCTTATCTTAGACTTGGTGACTATGTTATCAGCAGATCATTAGATACAAGCACTGAACAATAGAAGTATTTTATTGCACATGCATCTTATGAAGCTCATTAAGTGATTCAATTAAAATATTTTATACAATAAATGCTTTTGTTTATTTTATTTTTTTACTTTTATTTTTTTATTATAGTTTATTGTCAAGTTGGTTTCCATATAACACCCAGTGCTCATCACAAGTGCCCTCCTCCATGTACAATAAATGCTTTTGAAGCATCCTCTCTACTAGTATTGTCTAGTGCTATGGAATTCCACTGAAAGTGCTTCCTCAGTATTTTTGGTATAGATTTTCAGAGTCTAAAATTCCAAGTCCCTCAATATGTTTCATTTGATTAGATACTATCTTTGTCAATTTGCGTATAACATGGAAAAATGGAATAGTTCCTTCTGTCAGTAGCTACTTTATAGAGTGACAAAATTTTACAGTGCCTGTAATCACTGTCTTCCTTGGAACACTACTGACTGCCATATGTGGTATCTGGGACCTTTGGTTAAATGCTCTTCTGATTATTGATTTATTAACTTTCCATGGTAACCTGCTGGATAAAATTAAAGATTAATATTGTCTGATTATATTTCTTTAAAAAAAGTATATATGAGTGATATTTTCATTCTTATTTAAATATAATGAAATCTAAATATCTGCAATTGGCTTAACAATTAGGAATTAAATTTGGAATTAAACTTATGCTTCACATATTTTAACAAGCTAGAAATCCATATGCAGCACTTAAAATCTGCTCACTGTTCGATCTGCACTGAAGAAACCTTTGACCTAAAAGTGCAAAACAGGCTTTGCTGATGAGTGTTCTCTTAATGTTTTTTTCATTAAGGATATTATCAAAATGATTTTAAATCCATAATATGCTACAGAAAACAAATAGCACCAGGTAATTCTCAATCCTTACAATTGCATTCTCCTTAAAGTTTTCTGTACCTGAATACTTTCTTAGACAAAAGCTAAGATAGTGAATGCAAACCTTAATAGGAAGATAGCTTGTACTTAGTTTCCTCTTTTGATTGATATATATTCTAGGCTTTGCCACATACAAACTAATTGAATAGAGTGTAAAGGAGAACGTTGATGAATAATTTCAGCATCTCCCAGCAATACTCAGCAGGTGCCATAGGAATTATGCATATTCTGTTAACCAAGGAATTGCTACATAAAACTTTTTATTAGTCTTTTAACTCTAAAAAGATAAATTGGTCAGCAAACCTTTAAGTGCCTACTTTATATCTAATATTGGGTTTTTCACAGGGGGAAAGACAATGATATTATAAAATATTTGGCCCCATCCTTGTCTCTGTTTGAAAGAATAAGATTTACAAACAGGAAACAAATATGGAATGAATGAGGTGCAGCCTCGAGGTCTAGAGGAAATCGGGATGAAACCTACCAAGGAAGACAGATTTTGAGTTTGGCTTTCTGTTTGATAACATTATAAAGTGACCACACTAGTACATCACAGATCCTCAGTATAAAAGGGGGAGAAACTGATGAATCAAATTTTCAATCAGACAAAGGTAATATCTAAGATATACCTTTAAATCTTGATATGTACTCCTTTATTATTCTTTATGCACATACGTATATATATATATATATATATATAGCTATATATGCACATACATATATATATATAGAGAGAGAGAGAGGGATAGATATATGTATCTTTGGCTAAGATCAAGTGTATAAAGATGGTTATATACATTTTCATCATATAATTGATGTACATATCCCATAATATGTATGTTCTCCCTGTCCTAAAATAATGAATGCCTCATCATCTAACCCAAAAAACTCATACTCTGTGACTTTCCTTCTATCATAACTGGTGGAAAGTTTCTATTCTTTTTTTTTTTTTTTTAATTTTTAATGTTTATTTATTTTAGAGAGAGAGACAGAGTGTGAGCATGGGAGGGGCAGAGAGGGAGAGAAAGGGAGACACAGAACCCAAAACAGGCTCCAGGCTCTGAGCCGTCTGTCAGCACAGAGCCCGACATGGGGCTCAAACCCAAGAACCGTGAGATCATGACCCGAGCCGAAGTTGGATGCTTAACGGACTGAGCCACCCAGGTGCCATGGAAAGTTCCTATTCTTGTCTAAGGGTGATACCTCTACTTGTGCTCTGAATACCATCCCCTCTTACTTGTTCCAAGACTTTCTCCTGCAATTAAACACATTTTTCTCCTACACCACCATTTTCTCCCTCTCCACTGGATCAATCTCACTAGCATTCATATTTACTTTAGTGTTTCCCTTGACACCCCCCTCCAGGTTCTGTTCCATTGTTCTCTACCCTTCATAGCAACCAGAAGCACTGTCTCGGTATTTGCACACATTCTTTGCATCAATTGAAGCTAACCAAATACATTTCCAGCCCCAGAAGTCACAGAAATCTCTCTGTTTAGAGTGACCATTGACCTTCATTTTTACAACATATAATGATGATGTTTCTGGACTCAACTTGCTTGATGTCTTCACAGCATCTGATAGACTTGAACGCTCTGCCATTGGTTACTGTGTGCTTGTGCCTTCCAGGATGCCATGTGCCTGACTGTGCCACCTTAGTCTTTCCTGGCTGGCATTGTCTTTTCAAATCTCAGTGGTGGGTTGTCCTAGGGCTAAATCCTAGGCCCTGTATTCCAACTACACTCTCCTTGCATCCAGTCTTAAAGTTTGAAGTATTGTAATACCCTGATGACTATCACATTTATAAATTCATCCCTGAGCTTGCCACTGGGTGCAAAATTTTTTTAAATATCCATTGATTTATTTTGAGACAGTGTGAACAGGGGAGGAGCAGAGAGAGAGAGAGAGAGAGAGAGAGAGAGAGAATTCCAAGCAGGCTTTGCACTGTCAGCCCAGAGCCTCATGAGGAGCTTGGTCTCATAAACCATGAGATCATGACCTGAGCCGAAATCAAGAGTTAGACACTTAACCAACTGAGCCACCAGGAGCCCCAAGCTCCAAACTTTTATATCCAGCTGCCTCCTCTCCATATCTACTTGTATTTTTAATGGACATTCTAAGGTTAATATGGCCACAAACAACTCCTGATTTACCCCTGCTTTCCCTCAACTCCCCCACCAAATATTCCCCCACAGTGTTTCCCAAACTCAATAAATGGCACTAAGGCAGCCTTCAGTTTCACCCTGACTTCACCACCTTACCCCTTCTAATCCATCTCTATGTCCTATCAGATTAAACTCCAAAATACATCCTGTATTCATCTACTTCTCTTCATTGCATAGCCACCATCATCCCTTGCCGTGATCACTAGAATAGTCCAAACTGCTCTTCACATAGCCTCTCTAACTCTGCCAAAATTCAGCTTCCAGAGTCATCTTTTGAAAAAATTAGATTATGATATTCATTTGCTTAAAACCCCCTGAGAGCTTCCCATTGCTCTTATGATAAACTGTAAGGTTTACTGTGGTTTGGACTTTGCTGTGTATGATCTGGATTTTACCAACCTCTCTGACTTTATCTCCCCTTCTCCCCACCACTTGTTCTTCTCATTGTGACCTTATTGATGACACTGTTTCTTATTATATAGGTTGTCACCTTGAATGTGATCCCTTCAGTCTTCCACTTCCTGACCTCAAATTCTAGTAGCCCTCACCCCCACCTATACTTATTCTCAGCCAAATCATCTTGTCCTATTTCAGCTATAATCTGGTCCCCTTCTTGCATTGGGAGTCTGTATTTTGACTGTCTTCGTCCCCAGCAGAATGGATCTGCACAGGCGTAGAAGCAAGTATCTGGTGGTCTGGCACGTGGCCAGAAGTTAACAACTGCAAGTTAAATGAATGAATGAACAAAATGTTACATAAACACCATGAAATACATATCCTGTTAAGAATATTCTTTGCTTGCAGTATTTTCAGGTCAGTGTTGTCTGTTAACTGGTTTGAATATTGAATCAAAGAAGTTTAACTCCTCAAAAGTGTCTTCTATATACACAAGTAGGAGTATAAAATTTAAATGAGTAATTGAGCCAGACAGGCTAGATTAGTTCCTGGAATGCCCAGATCCAGTTGGTGGGGGATCATTTTGCTTGGGAATAGGTAAGGTAGTCCAAAAGCAAAGGGCTTCTGGGTTTTTTTTAATCATCCGCATTTACAGAATTTCAGTATGCTTCATTACTTTTTAAGTGACTGGATTATTTCCGTGCCTAATAGGTAAATTTTTTCCCCACATTTTGTACTCACGTACAATATAATTAACACTGACAATTTGACGGTCTTAGATAAATCTGCAGATAGTTCATTGATAATATTTGACTCACCTTTAACAACTAAAGATCCTGTTGTGGTTTTGTGCCTTGCTTTTT